TAAAAGTAGTGTTCTCATAAACTTTACTTATAATTATGGAATTTGATAACTTTGGTATTAAAGCTCAATCACCAATTATACTTGATTAATGAATCTTTCAAAGTTTGATCTTGTGCCATCAAACTTCTCAAGCAACTAAACTCTTGATTTTTTGATATTTGAATAATATTATATCATAGAAAAAATAATATGATTTATTATAGCTATTGAAATGGCTCCAATTATTACCATATCTTTATTCTTTGTCAATCTTATTATTTTTTATTGTGGTGAATTGAATTGACATATTACAAGCATTAATTTTTCATTTTTTTCTTACATTTTTGCTATTGGATTCTTTATTTCAATCAACTTTGTTATGATAATAGAATATATATATTATATGTTATGATAATAGAATATAGATAAGTAAAAAAAATAGAATATATATAATATTATAGATAATAGAATATATATAATATTACTCAAGATAAGTAAAAAAATGACTAAATATATATATATATATATATATATATATATATATATTAAAAATATTATTAATTTAAAGTGGATAATCTACAACTTCTAATATACTTATGTTTTATAAAGAAAAAGAGGTAATCCACTCTTAATGAAGAAAAGACAAAGCTTTGATATCATAAGTATAGTCTTGTTAATTTGTATAGGACAAAAACTCAAAGAATGTAAATAAACAAGTGATTTATATCTCAAAGAGAAATAACAATAAATAAATTTAAAAGTATGCATATTCAAGAAGATACCATAATGATTATTCCCAAAGACTGAAAAATTAAAAACTCTTAAAACTGAACTAGAAATAAGAAAGGAATTGACAAGAATGAGAAAGGTCTTAGTCTTGTCTTTATGTATACTACTTAATTAGGACCTATGTAGCAACATACTATAGGACTTCCAACATAAATCTAAGTTGCAAGATATATGTCTAATTTGTAAGGGATATTTTTTATATGTGTAATACATGGCCAACTAATTGGCTAAGTTTTTAACCTATCAATTATCTATAGACATATAAAAAGTTAAATTTGCATCTATTAAGCTTCTCTATAAGATATTATAAAATTTACTTACATCTATTTATTTCTATATAGTTCTTCTAATCTAAGTAATTTTTAATATAAATATATATGTCCATGATACAAAATAAGAGCAAAAGATAAAGCAAAGCATTCAAAAATTGCTAATTAAAGAAAGAAGAAAAAGAAGCTATAGCCACACTCATACTTGCATCAAAATAGATAAGTGTTTGCTATAGCCAAATATTAAGCTTTTTTTTTGTAATTATTTCTCTTCTTTTTCACATCATTTATTGCACTTATTTTTATGTATGTACTTTTGATATATATTTTTTATTTTTTTATATTTTATATTTTTTTAATATTATAAATTTTATTTAAAGAATACCAAATACTTGGCAATAATAATCTTTATAATTTTTATTTTAAATATTTAATTGATTCTTCATGCTACTAAATCCAAATCTTATCTTAATAATTATTTGTAAATCTAATCTTAAGTCCTAATTTTTTTTAATTCTTAATTTAAACTCTACCAAATTCTTAAAAAATACTAAGTATTTCCAAAACTTAAATTAATGTACTTCAATAGATATTAGCTTTCAATTGAATTCTTAGATATATTTTAAAACTTTTATACAACTAGATTTATTAGTATTATATAAATTCATAAAATTTTAAAAAGATTCGACTTAAAAATTGATAATTTTTTAATATAATCTCTACTAATAAACCTTAAGTCTTTATTTTAAATTTCATGAAGAATTTCAAGAATAGATTCTAGTAATTTAGATTTAAAAAAATTTTAAAAATTTTTAAGTGATTTTGTTATCACATCTTGTACTATTAAAATATAATTCTATTTTATCTAATTTAAAAATATTTATATATCTAAGAAATAAAAACTATCTTTTATTTGCTTAATTTTGATAATTTTTTATGTATGCAGTCAAATATCTTCCAATTGCACTAAGAAAATGATAATAAAATTAAAAATCACATTTCTTGCTTTTATGTTTATCTACTAACATAATACTAATTATAAATTAAAAAATTATTTTATATTTTTAATAAGCTTTAATAACTTAAAAATATTATTGCTTATAAAATCTCAATTTTTACTATTTAAATAATTTTTTTAAAAATATTTATTATCTTACAAATTTTATACTTTTAGAATAATTTATTGAAATAATTTTTAAAATTTTTCTTTCGAAGTTCAAAAAGACCTTTTATATGCTGCTATAGGTCTTTTATTTTTATACCTCAAGATCTAAATTTAATAATATTTTAAAAAGAATCATATTCTAGATATCAATCTAACCATTTTTATAATAAAGGTTGCACTAGCCTACCTTTAACTTTGTTGTAGAGGTAATTTTATTGTTTTTCTTTCTATTACATCTTATTTTAATCTATTTAAGACCCTATGAAAGGAATAGAAGTCTTTTTAATACAAAAACAATACAAAACATTAATTTCATATATAATCCTAATTTATTAGTTTTAAATGCCAATTTTTTTATTATCTATATATTAAGATTGCTTAAGGAGACAAGTGGTGGCTCTCATTCACTACATGGATGGATCTTTGTTTTCATTAAAAAAAAATCACCTTCTCTAGAGTTCACATTGTTTTACAATTCATTGGTATTTGTTTTCATCAAAAAACTTAACACTGTCTCGAGTCCACAAGGCATTTTATAGTTGATTATATGGCAATTACAATTGATCATAGGGTGTTTAATATTGGAGTGGCAGGAAGGGCATGTATCTAGAAATTTTGTGTATATCTACATGGGTGGACTCTCTTTTAGTCACAAGGAGGGTGATGTTCTCATGGTCTTTGCATAGTGAGTTTTCAGTAATTTGATGACTTCGCATTTGATCACTCAATCACTTTACATTTGATCACAGTAGGTTGGATTTTTTGATTTGTTTGTAATGGCAATTTATAGTATAGTATGCACATCTACTTCACATTTTTGTGTTCCTTTTTGTTCCACAATATAGGCCCTAGTCCATGTGTCAGGCTTTTCACACATGTCTGTCTGTTCAGCTTTTAATAGGTAGATCTCTCACTGATCATGGTTTTTTTTTTTTTTTTTTTTTTGTTTTGCTAGGTTGTGGAATGAGGCCTCTTCCTCACTGTGTGAGAGTTCATCCATTCCACCACCCATTGTATTGGCATGCAATAGTTTCATGGTTTTGGTGTTGATTTTGAATGGATTGTAGCTAAGTCAGTTGTTTCTTGCATATTTTTCATAAAGTTTTCTCTCTAGCTCTTTTACTGCCTTGATCTCAGTGTTTTATGTCTATATACAGAAGAAGGATGGATCAATTGATCCACTGGTGGTTCAGTCTAGATATGGACGGATGCCTAGGCAATTTTTTATATTGGATTCTATTATGTGGGCCTATCCAAACCAGGCATATGTGATTAATGGCATTACAGATTGTTGACTAAGAATTGCTTCTCTGATCTGTAGGTGCCCCTTATGGACGTGAACACTCAATGAACTATTGAAATGGGTCACTCAAAGGTTGTTGCATCCAATGGTGTCTCAAATTTAATTGTGATTTATAGAGAACAGCAGGCTTTAAAGTGGGGAATATGAGAAGACTGTTACAACTGAGTTGAATGTGGTTTTTGTCTTCACAAAGATTTTAACTATCAAAGCACTTAATTCACCAACGGACTAATTGACATTACAGCTCATGCATCACATGGAATTAATCTAGGCAGATTACAAACAATAATTATTTCAAGTATATTTGTGGTTACTGAATAATGTTTTTTAGTCACTTTTTTCAAGCTTTTTTTAACTGTAAGTTGACATAATCAAACTGAATACTCAACAACTTTTTCCGTCTTAGCATACTTGGGCGGAATGTAATAGGTGTTGTTGATTATTATGGATTTTGTTATCAATTTGCATAATAAAAGTTCATGGTATGAGTCAAGTTTATAATTCACTTCTTAAGTTCAGCATCAGATTATGATTACTTGAAGTGCTTGAGTCTTCTGCAACTTCTTCGAGACTTCAGCACCACTAAAAAAGAGACTTCTGATAATACTTTATATAATGGCTTACAATCCTTGATCTAAACTGCATACATCTTTTGAATTATTTTTTTCCTCACAAGATTAGTAAGGGTTTGAGACTGAACTTCCTTAATAACTCAGATCAAGTTGCAAAGTGGAAAATTAGGTGAATTCTTATTAGAGTCTTCCAATCATTTGGTTAAAAAAATCCATGATTTTTTAGATAAGAGTTATAGCTGTTTTGTATTTATGAAATATTATCATTGATATCATCGACTTTTCAGCAATGAAATTTTTATTTAATCACTAAAAAAATTAAACTTTTGAATTTTCAGAAATATTAGATAAATTGGCCTTGCAAAATGAAAATAAGATGTCGACTGTCGATTCACGGCATTGAACTAAACCGACTGTAGCGGCGCATCGGTAGGCGGCGTATCCACACCGAAATGGAGAGGAATGAAAATTCGGAGGCACGTGGCAGGGCAATTGCGTGTTGTTCCACCCGCACAATGCGGGGATTCATGCTTCCACCCACCCTCTTTGCAACTCCAAGATGGTCTCCTTGCTGTATAGCTTGGTGGGGTCAAGCTCATGTCCACTCATTCTCTTACGATAGTTTAATATGCCTTCCTTTGTCTGAGTGATTCGCTGCTTTTTTCCTCAATTCAAGAGCATATGCGAAAGGAAGAGAGAAAAGATCTGTGTTACTGGGTGCAGACGTGGTCCTACTCACACCGAACGCCAGCCAAGTCCTTCACGAAGCCCCTGCCACCTCCTCTCAGCTTGCGCCACGAATTGCTGGGTCATTAGCCTGTTCATTGCCGACATCACTCACTCGCTGATTCTGTATCCTACAAATGGCAGGCCGATGCGAGCACACATGGCCACAGTGCCTCTCTTGTCCTATATCCTGCTGCCAGCCAACTGGAACATGAACCTCCTTTGCCATGGAAACACCTGCTGTGGTGCAAACACTTGATGCTTTCTAGGGTTGATTGTTCACGTGTAACGACTCCTATGAGTTGGAAGTTTGTAAAGTTTTGGTTTTCGCTGGCCGGTTCTACGATTGGGAGCAATCGTGGGGTTAGAACAGAATTTTAAGCGGTCGAGGTGGCGGTGAATCATTCTCAAGGACTGAATCTTCTGAAAGAAATTCTGTGGAATATTTTAGACTTTTTTTTGCAGAAGTTTCACTGTGGATCATTTTTGATGTTGAGTTGTGAGCAACGCCGTCCTAGACCTGCTCCTGGTAGCCCTCCCAATATGCAGTGAACTCCGCTCGTTCTGAAGAACAATGAAACTGAGATAGACCTGAGTGATGGAATACTTCTGAGGTCAATACCTTCGACATGCACCAGATAGTTGTATGTAGTGTGATTTACTGTGCCCTGGCCTCCACTGAATAAACCGCTCAACCGATTGATGTCGTTTGTTGTGTCATTGCTCCTGAGTTCCTTTTCCTGTCCATCACTCGGATTCCTGTATTTCGCGATTCCAGCTGTTCTGAACTGTAACTTTTTTGGGCTGAAATACCGGAGAGGAATCTTGATTGTAGGGATTTATTTCGTTTGATTTGCTACTTCTCGCCGGTTACAGTGGCGGTGTGTAGAATTTGAAGAGGTTCTCGTAAAGTGGCAAGTTGTGGCAGGGAGTAATGCTTCAGCCGTAGCTGAGCCTTCTTAGCGAGCTAGCAGATGTCTGATATCCGAAGTCGTATTGGTCGAGTGCACGAAATTAAGAAGTTAAGTGTCATCAATGGTAGCAATGGGCGGGAGGTGTCTGATCATACTGAGGACTAGTAGCTGACTGAAATGGGCAGCGACGTGTTACAGGTATGGTGCATAGAAGACTGTACAATTAAATCCGCTCCTTGCTGTGTGAGAGTTCCATTCACGTGAGCCGGAGAGTTTAGAAGTTGGAGATTCAAGGCCCTTCATAGCCTTGTGTTTCCAGCTTTGGACCTGTTCCACGATGCAGCTGGTTAGTAAACTGCTGCAATTCAATCATATCAGAGTCAAAATGATGACCGACAATTTTCAATCCTTTAATCAGTCTGGAGGGTTATCGTCTTGGTTTACACAATGGCTTCCTATCGCAGGTGGTTCGTCACGGCACTCCACGATTTCTATCTGTTAGCATTGCTTAGCTCAGCAAGATTCTTACTAATACGCTGAGTAATTCTCCAATGGCGGACATGGGGAAGGATTATGAGAACCAGCATGGAGATGGCAACTTAGGTGATAGATCCATATCTGCACATGCAGATGAAAAAATCGGAAGTCCAACAAGCTCTCCATTTCATTCTATTCCCCTGCATACAGAGGAGAAGTTGGACAATCGTAGGAGCACGCCTCTGCAGAGAAGTCAGGATGGCGGAGAACTTGTAGATACTGTTGCAGATAAAGATTTGGCGGATCTTCCATCAAGAGATACAAGCGTGCGAAAGCCTGGGATCAATGTCGGAATTGGAAATGTGCCTGTAGGGGGGCTGGCAATTCCACCCAGACTAGCCAAACCAGCGGCTGCAACTTTATCTCCATCCAAGACATTTGCCAGGATGGAGAAGGAGAAAGAACAAGTATCGGCGATGACTCCTACGCCCAAAGAATCTCGCATGCGTAGGAGTGTTACTTTACCCGTAATAGGAGAAGTGACTATGGAAACTCTCAAGAACTGGACAAAAGAATGGCTTCGTAACCCCAAGAACATAGCTCTTCTACTGTGGGGAATCGCAGTTGCTGTATCTGGAGCAATTCTCTTTATGGTCATGGTGGGGATGCTGAACGCAGTCCTACCCAATAAGGCTGACCGAGATTTGTGGTTTGAAGTCTCGAACCAGACTATTAATGCTCTTTTCGTCCTCATGGTGCTGTATGTCCATCCCACTCGAATTCTACATCTGGTATGGTTGATACGTTGGAGACATGATGATATTCTGAAGCTCCGGAGCGTTTATTGCAAGAAAGGAATGAGAAAACCGCATGAATGGAAGCATATTCTTATAGTAGTATTACTACTACACTTGAACTGTATCGGCACATACGCGCTTGCTGGACTTAATTGGGGATACAGAAGAGCGGCCCGTCCATTTTATGCTGTGGCGATTTGCTTAGTAGTTGCCCTAGGTGCAGCATGTATGGCAGGGATCTATAACAGCCTTAGTCCTCTTGGAAAGGATTTCGTCCCCGAAGATGAAGACGATGAAGTTGAATCAGCCGCTGACAGGGCCGAGAGAGGAGAACCAATTGCACCCCCGACGCTGTTTCACTTCCCAAAGAAGTATAGACTTCTTGAGAGAAGAATGACATTTGCTTCCAGGGAGGGAAAGGTCGTTAATGATCCTCAATGGCAAGGGGGTCCTTGTGATTGTTTTGAAAAACCCAAGGTTGCTGCTATCACGACCTGTTGCTTTGCGTGCGTATTGGCGTATAATTTAGAGAGGCTTGGATTTGGCAATCGTTATGTTCATTTGTTCACGTTCCTGCTTCTGATCTTTGCCCCCTTCTTAGTCTTCGACATTGCAGCAATCAACATCGATAACAGGTACATGATCCTTCCAAATCATATTTGCTCGATATCAAGAGGGGACTTGTGTACATGAGTTTTGCTAAACGGTGGGGTCTTACTCGGCTACAGCTTTTTCGCCTTTTTGAATTAAGCGTTATAAATCCAGTAGATACGATAGGTTGCGAGATTGATTGGATTCTCAAGTAGTGTTCAAGTGAGAATGTTCGGGTCGCAGAATTAATTCAATTTTGAGTAATCATAATCTGATATGGACGTTAAAATAACAAACAGTTAGTTGGTAAATTTTGGTGTAGATATGATTTGATTGCTGTACTCCTGACTTGCAGTTGGAATTTAACAATGTAAGTTCATGCTTAGTGTAGTACAAATTCTATCGTTTACGTGAAATAGAAGCTCAATGGTTGGGTCGGTATCAATTCAGACTTCGATATTCCATGTCCATCACACATTTGTATGAAACACATTTTCATCAACGATGTATTTGTTATGATTCAGGACCATCCAGTTGAGCTTGGGAGGAGCAGGTATAGTACTCTGTGTTTTTGGACTGCTCTATGGTGGATACTGGAGGATCCGAATGAGAAAGAGGTACCGCCTACCGGCAAGTACATGGTGCTGTGGGCATCCAAGCATGACGGATTGCACTCAGTGGTTTTTCTGTAGCTTGTGCTCTTTATGCCAGGAAGTGCGCACTGCGGAGGCTTTTGACGTAATAGACGATAATTTCTACCACAAGATGCAGGAAAGACAACAATCACCTGGACACAAAGACAGGTCATCCACACCAGAGGTCTTGTTAAACCCTGTGCCGGCTTCACAAATACATCCCCATACGCATTCGGATGCTGGGAGGATAGGTCAGAGTGAATCTACTCAACACACTGTGTTGAATCCGCCACTCACGCAGATTGCTGAGTCGTAGAAGTGTTTGTACATTACTGATTACATTCCTTCAAATTTTTGCAGTCCTGATGAAAATGCTTTTGAGGCCAACAGTCACAAATTTTTGACTAGATTAGGTACCTCGCATTGCACATTAGGGGTAAACCTTGCGTGGTTAATCTTTTGAACACAGTCCCTTGACGGTAATATAATGTCCATGTGTGAAGCTTGGCTTGAAACTTGCATGATACCTCAGTCCAGCAGATGGGTCTTAAGTTCCAAGGATGACTGTGTATAGTTTGCAACTTGGCCACAAAGTAGTCTCCGGTTAAGGATTCGGTATTTTCGTTTCCAACAGATTCCTGTTGTGGGCGTTGACATGTACTCTAGCAGATAAAGATATATGTATCAAGACCGTTACTAACGCCATTTGTAATTCTCACACCTCAGCTGCAGCAAACGTGGCTGCTACTATAGAAATTGATCAATTATTGTTTGTTTATTTGATTACTCATCTCTTGCTCATATTCAAGGCTTCAATGGGTAATGCGATTACAGAAAGTAACCTTAATGCCTTCTACAGTAGTGCACTATAATATCTATCTATAAAAAAGAATTTGAGCAATGCAAAGGATTGAGGTTCAGACTTGATTTTTAACGTATGTGCTATGTTGTAAAAAGTGGAAATTTTATTTTAAGTAAACATCCTTGTTAGTGTTTATATGGCTACTTTCAATACCAAGTGCTCTTCTTTTTTGTGATGGTTGTGTGGGATTCAACAATGCTAATATGGGTTTTAATTGATAAGATAATTCACCTTATTTCATCACTTTGTAGAAGCTTGATGAAGACAAAATTCAATCAAAGTGTTGTATTTTTGCAAGTGACAATTGTAGATTAGATGAATAATGTATAGTGTATACATTGTGTAATTTTTGTATAAAAATGTAGAAGTATCAAACGTTGTTGTTATGCCATATTTTTGGTATTGAGGTTTGAGAGGATTTTGGAAGCCATGTAACTAGTACATTTTGATAAGACTTACTAATGATTAGAAAAAATTAATAACAATTTTAGTTAACCTTTAAGAAAACAAATTTGGGCAAATTAAATTTTAGTAGAACAAAGTACAATTAAAGAATGTCATACTTTGTGTTAAAACACTAATCCACTACTATTTGCAATCTAATTGGCATAATTTGGCTACATATACTACTGAGAAGTTTTTTTTTTTTTAATTTTTTTATTCAATTCTTTAAAAAATATTATTTGACTTGAAATAAAGATGGTCAAAAAATGCAACTTTATTAAAATGACAATGCAATCAAGTTTTATGGTATTGTGTGTATAATCCATGTCTTTGTTATTTGTTGTGTAGTAAAATTTGGCAATACTTAGGACCAATAAGAGAAATCTAATTTTAGTTCTTTATACCCTTTGGTAATAAGTATTTTGACATGAAAAATTTTCATATAATAAAATAATTTTAATATCTTTGATAGCTTGTATTCATTTAATTGTGAAATTAATGCATATTAACTTTTCAATAAATATATATATATATTCACTTGTTCTATTCTAATATTATCTTATACATGTATTACTTTAATTTAAGTTTATTATAAATTTTATTATAAATTATTTTATTTGGAGAAATTTTAGAGGTTTATATTATTTTCCTCCAAAACATACTTGAATACATATATGTTCAACATATTTTACTTTTTACTTTTAAAATTTAGAATAAAATAAAACATTTCAAACAAACACATTAACAGGCTTCTAATTATTTGAGGTGTACAATATTAAGATAATATTCTATAAGTAAATAAATAGACATTCAATTAATTTCAAATAAGATATTATCCATGTGTTTTGAATGCCATTGTTTACAATTAGTTACATCAGATAGTCCATCAATATATTTATCTTTTATAATAAGTTCAAAGCATATAATTGATACCACTTATTTTTGTAATCTCCAATCAAGTCCATAATTTTTGTTTATGATTCATTCATCCACATTCTATATTTTACAGGTACTTTTAAAATAAATAAAAATAAGCAAACTAATCCATAATAACTTAAGCATCAATTTTTTTTTATATATATATATATATATATATATATTCTTGCTCTAAATCCAAGTCTTTCTAGTAGTACACCTTATCAAAATTGTTCAACTTCTATATGAATAATATAAAAAAGATTTAACTAAGTTCTAGCTTTAATTGTTAAAAACACAAACAAATGATTTGGTTGCCAACAATTAAATTTAGAAGTTGATTGGCAAGAAATCCAAAAATACCAAGTAATTAAAAAAATAATAATATAGAAAAGAATTAGCATTGTGAAAAGAAAAATTTAAAAGTCTAATTACAACCAGAAAAATTGTATAACAAAAAAGACTCAATATGTGTCAAAAGAATGAAATTGAAATAATTTAGAAAATATATTTCTGACCAATATCATAAAATTTTATGATAGATTATCAATAAAAACTATTTATATACCATGTAAATATAAGAATTGCTACAACCAATTAGAATTTTATAGAAAATTCTTTAATATATCAAAAAAAAAATATAATAGGATAGTTTTTTTAAATAATTCTAAAAGTTTGTAGTAAGACTCTTTTGTAAGCATTTTGATTTTTTTTTTCTTTAAACCATAAATCTAGTATTTATAATAAAAATAATTTTTGAAAAATATAATCTTCGTAAAGTATATTTGGTCTACAACATGAATGGGTATAAATAATTAATTAGTTGTGCTACATTGTCCTCATTGTTAATTATAATATTTCTTATAAGAGCATTTAGAACAATTAACATTATTATATTATCATCAATATTCATAAAGCTATCACTTAAATTTAAAAAAAGAATCTAAGATGTTGATGTTTTCTTGCATATCTTTAAAAACTTATCAACTTAAAATTTTCTTTAAACCAAATTTGTTGTTAAACAAATCTTACAATATTGTCAAGAAAGTGTGATTTTTTGCAAATGTAACATGTTTTTAATTACTTTTTACATCCAACTATATAATCTATTTCATTGAAAGATATCAATTTAAAATTCCAAACATGAAATGATAAATCTTAGTTTTAAAACAACAAAGACCAAAAAATGTAAACACAATTAAGCATTTCAAAATAAACATAACAATCACAATCACAAACCAAATACAATCTTGTATTGTATTTTTATATAAAAATAAAAATAAAATAGTCTACTGTAATTAAAAAAAATCCTCCAAATATTTAAATGTATAAGAATTTTTTATTGCCAATGTTATGATAACCATTAGTTATGATATTACATTAGTTATGATAATCATTAAAAGTATCTATCTAAATGTCCTACTTCTAATTCTCTTTTTTACTTCACAATTTAATAATGTGTTGATAGTCTAATTAATATATATAATACCTTACAACTTTGTAGAAGTGTGGCAACAAAAGATAATAGTTCAAATTTAAAGATTCTAATCACCTTCAAAGAGCAAGTTGGTATGTCAAAAAGCTTAAATTAAATTAATTCTATACTTGTAGGTACAACATCATCAATCATTGCATACAAATTTTTAGTAGATTTTTACTACAACAAAGCATTTAAATTCTAAGTGTTTTATTGTGACGTGAACCAACATTCATCTATTAAAGTCAAAGTGTATTCATACCTAATTTAAAACAATATTTTTTTATATTTTTTAATAACAATGTAAACACTTGTCATACTAAAACAATTCACAATTCTCTCCATGTTAACACACTATGACACTCAACATCAACCAACTTATTTCACACACCACCTACCTTTTCACACACCATCCACCTATTTCACAAAATTAAAGCATTAAAATTAATAAGTCAAAACGTACATTCTAAAGAAACTAAACCACATATGGAAGCATCATTAAATAGCCATACTTGTTATTGATTAAAGTTATTTGGACCTTGGTTATAAATGGTAGCAATACTAAAGAATAATAATTCAAGGTATATATACTTTTTGAAAAATTTGACATTCTTTAGGATCACAAAGCGTTGAGTCTTGTTAATATATTCAAATATTTCAAATTTATCCTTAATAGTGATAAAGAATTTAAAATTGGTGCTTATATATTGTCTTATTCTTTAATATATTGTAACATATACTACTTTTTAAAATTTCTAAATATAATGCTTCAAATACTTAATTCTAATAATATTACAAAATTATTTGTTTTTGATAATTCCAACAAATACAAAATATCCAAAGTTGAATTTGACAAAGTTATTAATAATCTACAATTACTTCTACAAAATATTGAAATGATGCTTTTTAAGATCATTTTAATGACATGGTCAAGATACACACTTCATAGTATAGGCCTTATGATTCATCTTGTGCAACCATGGTACTAACCACATCAATTTTCACACCACCCACCAAATTTGTGAAAACAAAGAATTCAACTTTGTTACATTGAATTCAAAATTCAAAGATTGCAAAGATCTTATGTAGTAGATGTCACACAATTATTGATTGTTAAATTACTCACCTTGCAAGATTGGTGATGCATTACATATGTTAAAAAAAATTCAACAAGTTTTTTCTTTCATAAAAATTATGTCAATTACAATGACAAACATCTATTTTTTATTGATTATATGCCAAAGGTAACAAAGGATAGAAAATTACTAAGTTAAGAAATGCTCTACTGAATTGCTTTATTTTTATAAATTTTACAAAAATTATCCACTTAAATTTTTTAGATACTATACTATACTATACTAGTAATTGAGAATTATATTCTCTCACAACCACTACAACCACCATTCACATTCACATTGTCTGAAGGAGCACACTATCAACAAAAAATTCACCAAAACAATTGCACAACAAACATCATCCAATTTTTGCCACTAAGGTATCCACAACTTAGCACAAAGACTTCAAATTGGTGGACTTGTTACTAAACAGAAATCAACATCACAACAAGAAGCCATATCTGCATCTTACAACACATTGCCACAAGGTAACCATCCCACATCAGTACCCTTAAATTAATCAAGAGCATCGAGAGAGCCACTAAGCAGCAGTAGAGCCTATGTGGTTTCCACCAACCCAAGATGCCAACTCATCATTTCCCCTAAAAGTTAAACCCATCTTTCTCCTCTCCCCTACCAAGTCACTTTCTTCTATGAAAAGCTTTTTTGTTCCCAAATATCTTGTCACCTAAACCTTCCCCCCATTTTTATCCATGAGAAGTGCAATCACCCATACAGCAATGGGATTGTGATCCCCACACACCAACATTTAAATCTTCGCTATTTTAAATTACAAAGGAGGCAACGATTCAGTACAGGGGACAAACGCGACAAACGATAGTTCCCAAAAAAACGAAGCCAATGCAAAAACCACACATGCATTATTCAAAAATCAATGTAAATTACTGCAGGAAAATCTGTAATCCATAACCTCCTCTAAACCTTCAAGAGCCAGTGACACATAACGCACTTC